AGAATACATACAGAGGAGTTACATTGTTTTTATTTTATTTGGTTTCATGGAAACCACTACAATTGAAATTTTAAAAAATATGAGATGCTATATGCATTGTCGGCTCTTTGGCTCTCTTTAACCGATAACTGCATAATCAGTGTATAAAGAGGCAATATTTATGCTTAGTTTCATAGGTCCCGGACCATTATTGGTTGGCCCCACAGACTTCAGAGTAGTGAGAGCACTTTGCAGAATAAAACCACCCACCTTCTGGTGAGGAAGAGAACGGGATCCCATAAGCCCTTTCAAGGACATACAGATACCAAAAAGACCACCCTACTGTAGACTCTACATCCTAAAGATACTATCACCTTCCAGTGGCACCACACTTGGGAGCAGGTCTTAATACATGGCCCTTGGTAGACACAAAGCTGTGGCAAAGCATAAAAGAGCATTGTGAATTTTAAGGTTTCTACAAACTAAGATACTTGTTTCCTTGGGATCTGGGGTTGTTTGTTCTAGTGTGACTGTCTCAGGTGGAGTCAACAGAGGCAGCACTTAATTTTTGTGGTGCATCTAGAAAAGAATGATTTGAAAATTACTCTTTCTAAAGGCTGCATTTCTCCATACGAGCATTACCCACATTTGGGAACAACTGCTGCTGGGCCTGTCTGCCACCAAAGACTGTTTCCTAGAGAATTCTAGAGCTGTTTTCTTGTGCCTAAGGAATTGGACCACAGAGTGAAGAACAGAAGTTGAAGATAGATCCAGACTTTGGGGCAGTCTATATTTCCTTATGGGACTATACCAAAGTCAGCCCAAGCCTCATTGACAGGACTCCATCTGTGAGTTCAGTGACAATGTGTTGGGTTTGGGGGGATAAACACTTGTCAACACATCATAACTTGGGCCCGTACAACCACTTCCTATTTTTGTAAATAACATTTTATCCAAAGACAGCCGCACCTACACCCATTCCTTTATGTATTGTCTAGGAATGCCTTTGAGAGGTGGGCTAAAAAGCTAAAATGCCCAACCTCTAGCCCTTGGCAGAAAGGATTTGTCAAGCCATGCTTTGGAAAGATCCAGTTCTGGGCACTGGCCTGGGAAGTGCCTTGGGTTGAAGGGAGGTCCAGGTGATTTGGGCCATGCTTCAGCAGTGCTTATTTCCAGGAGAGAACAATTGTATGTGGAAAACCCTCCTCCATATTCTAATTATGATTATGGTCAGTGCACAGAAACGCCTGTGGGGTCATGGCACTTACGTACTGACTGGTTGAGGAATATAAAGGATCCTGAAGGCAGTTAAAGGTTAGAAGCGAGAGGAGTAAGCTTCTTTTGTGTTTTGTTTCCAAACTGTGATTAAGTAGCTCAGCTTGGAGCCTTTTCCCCCAATTTTTCCCCCAATTCTGAGGTTTGAAGAACTCAGAGCCTTGTACTTGCCCAGCCTATTTGCTCAGCTAGGACTCTGCTATTTGAGCCATGCTCCCCATCTTGATTTGAGCTGGTTAATCTGAGATGGAGTTTTTCACACTTTCTGCACTCAGCCTCCTGAGTACTAGGATTGCAGTTGTGAGCTGCAAGCTCCTAGCTAATAGTAACTTTCTTGATAGGACAGGAATGTCACATGGTTGTGGCTGATTCTGGGACAAGGCTAATAAGTGAGTTTGTCTTTTGAGCAGGGGTTTAGAAAAGTCCCAGGTGGGATGTAGGCACAGCCCTCCTCATAGCTTCTCCCTGGTGTCTCCCTGGGCTGTGCACTGCTGCTGCTGGGAATCTCAGACCTGCACATGGCTGTGGCTTGATCTCAAAACTGCGCACCTAGAATTGAACATGCAGATACCCTCAGAGCACGAGATGACATGTGCATCTGGATCTTTATTGCACCATAGGCTCTTTTCTGTGTCTGCTTTTCCAAGTCTTATCTGTGGTGATACAGTAGAATCCTCAGTGACAATTACTACAAGGCTAGGGAAATCTTCTCAACTCAGGGAATGATAAGACATTCAGTTACACTGACTGAGTGGTGTAAATTGGTGCAAAACAGTACTGTATTTGTCAGCTAGTGTGTTTGATATAGATAGACTGGAACAGTGGCTGTCGGCAGAGTAGGGACTAAGTGTGGAGATAGGGATGGGAAGACCTATAGTATTTTGTGTATTATTCAAGGAACAGAATTGTAGAGTGATGAATGAGAAACAGATGCTGAATGGGGTTTAATATCACTAGTTTATCCATCCATTTCAGTTTGGCTGGGCTTTATCAAGTCCAGTTCCACTAGAGCTGAGCCTTAACATCATGTAGGCTCATTCCACAGCCTTATCTATGGGCCAGGGTAAAATTCAGATCTCTTTTCCAGGTATGGGCCCTAGGTGCCAGGTGATGTCAGAGATGTATGCAAACGTGGCTCTGTTTTATTTTAATCTGATTGAAGAAATATAAAAATTGATTCCCTTACATTAGTTAATAATTTAACATAAGAGCACATATATCACAGACAGCTATTGTCATATAGATCTTCTTCGGAGTACTGTATAGCTCTAGTGCCCAGCAACAACAGCACTTTCCTGCCATCCCCGATGAGGGAGCTTGCTCCACCTCTTAACAAGTTGAAGTCTCTGACCTGGAGAAAGGGGATGTTCCCTATGTGCACACAGAAGTGATAAGGCATCATCCCATTTTGTGTGGTAATGAGTGGCTTTAGGCATCGTGGGTCCTATGAGAGTTTGCAGAAGAAACGTAAGATTTTCTTTGTTTCCTGGACAAACAGGAAGAGAAGTACAAACCCCAAAGAGGAGCCTGGGATTGACTGATAGGCACTCAGCCTTGAACAGCATCTTCATGATGTCTTTCAAACATCCTGTTTTAAAGTACTGAAATACATTTCAGTACTTCCAGTGAAAAGGCTTGTTGTTTATTCCTGCTTTCTATGGGGTGGGGCTGAGGGAGTTGGTCTGTGTTTTAACCTTTAGGGGTCAGAAGACTGGTTCTCTTATTAGTCCTGACAATAAACTATTTCTAACAGAAAGGAAAGTGGAAATGCTGACTTCACATTGGTGGTTAAAGAACCTCTTTCATGAAGCTGTGTTGTGGACCTTTACCCCAGTGTGGCACAGCTACCACTGTCTGATGCACGCCCAGGGCCTTGTCCTAATATATGTAAATAAAATGACCACACGGGAGGGGGGAGGACCCCTCTTTTCTCAAAATAAATTTTAAAAAATAACCCTGCCTTTTGAGTTTTAGAATGACAAAAGTCCAAGTGTCCTGTGGTCAGATCACACCACTGTTGGTCATCACTGCACTTAGAAGCTAAGAGTTCCCACATGACCCTAACTAAAAGTGTGCAGAGAAATGAGGCCCTTTCCAAGGTTCCAGGAGAAGTAGCACTGGGGGTCACACATCTGTGACGTTTTGCCCTGGCCTAATGCTCCTTTACTATGAGGGGCTGAGAACCATCTTTACCCAGAAAGGCACCCCTGCCAGCCATGGCTGGGGGACTGAGGCACTTGGAGGTAGCCATTTGTTGGGAGAGAAAGGAAGGAGACAGAAATTCCAGGGAACTCTCTGGTTTCTCTGCCGCTCTGCACATTTGACTCTCAAACTAGAGCTCCACACTGGAAACCCATATCCTGGTAGCCTTCTCTGATAAGCTGACTCCTGAGCTTTGTCCCTTGTTCTTTGTGCTCCTATTCTAGGGTTTGCTCCTGTCCTTCTTAGTCTGTTGTTAACTTCTATGTGTTGTCCAGGAACACATTTTGTTCAAAATGAAAAAGGCTTTGCAGCCCCCACCTGCTTTAGATGTGATGGTCGAGGCCATCATCTCTTTTCTCTGGGCCTCTTACATTGCTGTGCAGGTGTGCTGACACTCCTGTACATCCTGTGCCCAGCCTGTGAGCACAGGGCAGTGCTGGAGTCTTGCCAGTATGTCTGTCTGTTTTGATCCTAATTGTTTGCACTTAAATCTGTTTACAGCATATTAAAGGAGAGATCTAGCCATGTCATTGTAATGATACAGTGGCCTTAGCCAAAATGTTGACAATACTTACATTTTATTACTGTCCCCAGATGGTTTGCAACTGTCTCCCTTTTTCAAAGGCAAGGCAACAAGGGCCAGTGTGAGGCTTTTCACAATGCACAGATCTTGTCCATGTGTGTGGCTGGTGTAATGGAGGTAGACCCCAGGCTACTCGCCCGAGGTAGTTGACAGGGCTTTGCTACAGTAGGACAGTGTGGCACGGGGTGGTCTCAGAAACCCATGGGAAAGTGCCTTGTAAGGAATGTGCCTCACCCTCAGGAGACAGCTCTGCCCACAAGTACCCTTGCCTCTGGTGGATCCGCCTCCATCTCCAGCACATCCCTGGCTGGAATTTATCCCATCTCTGGTATCTAGATTTGCAGGAGTATCTAGATTTGCAGGGCCATCTAGAAAACTCACACAGGCAAAGCTTTAATAAAGGAATGGCATCTCCTTTCCAGCATGTCTGTTTACATGCTATATGCATACAGACAGACACACAGCAGGAGTTGTCTAGGTCAAGGGTGTCCTGCTTGAGCTCCTCCCTGAAATGTTAGAAGGGGTGCTCAGCCACTTGGGAATTCTGAGAGCAGCATCTATCTCCTTACCATGTTTGTCATTACAGCTGGGAGCACTGAACCAAACAGACTGAGGAAATCTAGTAGTCGGGGCTGCAGGAAGCACTCCACAGCCTGGTCTGGGTTCTGTGTCTTACCTGTCCTGCTCCACATTTTCCTGTTACTTTGCAGAACCATGTCTAAACAAGCAGAACACCTAACTGAAACCTGCACTTCCCCCTAAAGCCACGTTAGCAGTCTTCCTTAGAAAGGTGGTGCTTTTGAAAAGTTAAAGTGAAATTTATAGCTGAAAGTGTTAGCAGTGCAGGGGTTCTTGAAAGAATAGCTGTGTGCAAAGTAAAGGCCTGTCATCCAATTTACCAGGCTGAGGAATTCAGCAGTTAACGAACTTAGCAGATTTATTCTCCTTCTCATTTCTTAAGGTTCGCCACCGGTGGTGTGAGCTTGTTATTAAGCACAAGTACAGCAAAGCCTACAAACATGTGGAGAGATTCCTTCAGGAGGACCAGGTGAGTTCTGTCCTTCAATAGGAGAGGGTTATTTAAATGCTGCTCTCTACCTTCCCTACTTGTGCCCACACGAGCCGAGCCCACATTCTCTTTTGTTGTTGGTCGTGGGGCTTGAACGCTGGGCCTTGGCACTGTCCCTGCGCTCTTCAGCTCAAGGCGAGCGCTCTACCACTTGAGCCACAGCTCCACTTCTGGTTTTCTAGTGGTTTACTGGAGATAAGAGTCTCACAGACTTTCCTGCCTGAGCTTTGAACCGTCATTCTCAGATCTCAACCTCAATAGCTAGGATTACAGGCATGAGCCACTGGCACCCATTGAACCCACGTTCTTGACATCTCTTACAGAACCAATAGTTCAGAAAGGTTTTGAAGGCCTGCTGGGTACCCCTTAAACTTTTGAGCTGATTTGATTTTTGAGCTCTCAGTAGCCCTTGAAAGCAGTGGGCTAGCAGTGGGTTAGCTTGGCAGTACCATGATGGTGTCCCTGGTTTTCAGTTCAGTGGACCTGGCAGAAAGCATATTGTGGGTGGGCCTGGGAGAGCCCAGCTGGCTGGACTGGTTTGGGTCAGATCCTTACCGGCTAGGACAGGCCAGCCCTGTTGGGGTAGCAACATCGTGCGTGTTTTCTGCCCTCCTAGGAAGCAGCTGCCTTCCTTGGAGCCCACAGGAAAGCATTGGACGATGTTCTTCATGGCCACCTCTGACACCATAGTGCACATTTGGGTTGCCACTCAGAATAGCACCTGCACGTACGGCACTCCACATCTGACTTACGTTCCTGGGGCCTGTGCCTCTGCCTAAGTTCTGTGCCCAGGCTCTGGGCTGACAGAATGGAGTTGCTTTCAGTGGGTGGAGAGTAGGGGTGGGGCAAACAAAAGGACTTTTGATGGTCTCAGGACTGGGGGCAGACAGTTACTGAAGGGCTGGTTATTCCCACAAAGAAAAGTAGAAGACTGCAACAGCTGAAATGTCACATTTGCACAAAGGAGCAAGAAATGTTTAGAAGAGCAAAGAGGAGCATAGGGCAGACAGAAGTCACTTTAGGTCTCCTCAAGATCAGAATTCACCATGTTCTTCCTCATCACCACGCTACAGCTTTGGGAGGACATCATTTTTTGCGTCCCTGACTGCTAGAATCAAAACAGGCAGAACCAAAATGGTCCCTTTGTCATGTCATGTATTGTTGGCTGTTTTAAAATGTTGGAAATGTACAGATGTGAACCATTGCAGCCTTGTGCTCAAAACAGTTATGGGCCAATATCTGCAGCACTTGAAGCTGGAGGTGGAAAAGTGATCAGACTGTGCCTGGTCACCACTTTGATGTGGTTTTTGTTTTTTTGTTTTTTTGGTCAGCTGTGGGACCTGGGCGCTGTTCCCCAGCTCTTCAGCTCAAGGCTAGCACTCTATCACTTGAGCCACAGCGCCATTTCCAGTTTTTTTTGCTTATGTGGTGCTGAGGAATCCAACCCAGGGTCTCATGCATACAAGACAAACACTCTACCACTGAGCCACCTTCCCAGCCCCCTGTGATGTGGCTTTCATCAGTCTTATAGACTGACAGAATGAATGATCTTGTACCAGCTATTCCTGGGAGTCCCACGTGTGGCAGGCAGCATGTTTCTATGGTGTGTGTTATATCATCACCATGGGAATGCCACCTCCTCATTCAGGCACACTTGAAATCACAAGATTTTTGACAGAATTATAGTTAAGAATTTCATAGGATTTTGATGAGAGAAAGAGACAGGACTGAAAACTGCAGGTCCCAGAAGTTCAGTTGCCCAACGGTTTTTTTTGTGTATGTGTGTGTCTTTGTACTTTGTAGACCAGCACGCTTGTGTGAAACAGCATAGACTGGGCTCAACACACATTCGTATGCACAACCCTTTCCTATTGCTCTCTTGCCTCTGCCCTGCAGGCCATGGGCGTGTACCTCTATGGGGAGCTGATGGTGAATGAGAATGCCAGACAGCAGCAGCTGGCACACAAGTGCTTTGCGCTGACCAAAGAGCAGATGGACAGATCCTCAGCAGAAGTGGTGGCTGAAATGCTGTTCTAAAGAGGTGATTTTCTCTTTTCCATCATTTGAGGTATAGCCATGAACGTCTCTTAGGCACCAAACCAATTATAAACTACATGGTAAGCCAAGGCTTCTGGCAGCACAGAGCAGCGCTCCTCTCAGGTGGCTGTGGCCTTGCAGAGCAGGCACTGGGGGCTGTGCTGATGAGGGCCCCGGAGCAGCTCACCTGAGGTGCAGCTGTGGGAGCAGTGGTGTCTCCCTGAAGGCAGAACAGCTCAGCATTATTTTTTGGCTATCTTGAGTTTTATAATTTGATGGAAAAAAATTGTAAGAGAACCTTGAGCATGGGTGAAGAAGTGCAATGAAAGCCCAGCAGAAGCAGTGACCACAGGCTTTATGACACCTGGGTGTCCAGGGCTGCTCCAGATCGTAGCTTCTTCACATACACACATCTCTCTCCTAGCTACCTGTAATCCTAGCCACCTGTAATGCTGAGATTCCTGGCCAGTGAGGCCAGTGAGGCCACTTCCTTGTGCCCCCCCCTGCTTACTTATTATACCTATGATTTGATGGCAGGTCCCATTTTCTATCTTTCATTGGAGAATTTCTCCTATACACTGGAACATCCCAGACTTTTAAAATGCTTCCATTCATGGTGCCTGGAATTGACCTGCTATTTACTCCCAGCAGTTAGTTGCTATTTAAAGTAATTAAGCAGTTCAAAAAAAATATTTGAAAGTAGAACTGTGGGATTATTCAGTATGCTTTTCCCTTTTAAAAATCATCAGAGTTGAATATGATATGTCAAATTTTGTGTCCTTTACAAAGAATAGCATTCTTGAGCACTTTTCATGTTGTTATATAGCTCTCTAAAATGAAAATTTAATAAACAGACTTATGTTGATAATCCTAACGTATTACTAGATGTCTGGTTCATGTCTAATGTTTTCTAAAAACCCACTTTTGTCTAACATGCTTATCTTATTTACCTGGAAGAACTCTGATCTGAAGAAGAAAAAAAGGGGGATTTATGAAGCATGGTCCTAGTCACCCAGAAGAGTCTGGGCTCATGTTTGATAGGCAGAGGAAGTAGTAGAATAAGTGAATGAGTAGACATCCTGCAGCAAGATGGCATGTACAGACAGCCCCCATGCCACACCAGCAGGAACAGTTGAAGCTGGCTCATCACCAGCATCGTGTAGAGACCTTTAAAAGTCATGAGACTTAAGTTCATTGAGAGTGTTAGTGCATGAAAACCTACAGTACGACTCAGAGGGTCACATAGCTGTTGTGACTCTGGACTGTGGTTTTTTTGTTTGTTTTGCCCTAAGGCAAAGAAGCTGTCCTGGTCATAAGTCTGCCGCTTCTTGACTCCTCTCTGAACTCACCTTGGTTCCTGTCTCTTCCCTTCTGGCTGATTGCAGGCATCACATCAGCCAATGGGAACATGGGTTGCTCCTGAGTCACCCTCTAGCAGGGACATCCTTTCACTGAATCTGTGCGGTGAGAAGAGATTGTATCCCTATGGTTAAATGCAATATACTAGGCAAATATAGCCTCCTTGGAAGTATCTGTGTCACATGTATCCTTCTCCTGCCTGTTCAAAGTTTCATTGGCTTTTTTTTTTTTTTTGGTGCCAGTACTTTTAGAACTTCGAGCTTTTGCTTGGGTATTTCTTTTCACTGCTGGCACTCTACCACTGGAGCCACACCTCCTGTTTGAGCTTTTTGCTAATTAACTGGACATAAGAATCTCACATATTTGTCTTCCTGGTCTGGCTTTGAACCACAGTAATCAGAACTCAGCCTCCTGAGTAGTTCGAGGAGTACAAGCACAAATCACCAGCACCCTGCCTCACTGAATGGTTATGGTCTTCTGAGTCTTTTTTATGTTAAAAAAAAAGAGTATAGCTCTAGAATGCCAGATGAATGACCAACAGAGGACATTGGCTTGCTGGTGGAGCAGGCCTGGAGGCGGAGTTGGCGCCGCCAAGGAAGCTGGTGCATGCGAATAGGAGTGGCAAGGCACAGCCTGCTCTCAAGTGCTCTGGCTGCTTGGGTTCCTGGCATGCTGATTTGTGAATTAAGATTAAAATCACATTGCCAGGGATTACCACGCAACCATGACCCTGGCTGCTCCTCCAGAAACCACAGTTCTTTCTCTGCAGTTTGAAGAACATATGCATCTGTTAGCCCTTTGGAAACAAAAGAAGTCAGCAGCGCCTTTGGAAGATGCTCACCGGCCTTTTAATATACCCAGCGATGACCTCTCTAACAAGGTGCAGAGCTTAGCTGATTGGTGAACAGTGATTGATTTCCGCTTTGTTCACAGTGGCTAAGTTCTGCACCTGAAGAGAAGGTGAGATGGGGACAGTTAAGTTGGAGGCACTGGGGCAGAGGCCACTGAATGGTCAGCTCAGTGCGGAGCCTGATCCTGGAGGACAAGAGACCAGCCTGACCAAAGGATGCACTGACTCCTGTCAAGAATACAAGCAGTGCACCAACCGCTCTTAACAGAAACATAAATCCAGTAACTAGACATCTATCTGAAGTTGCAAAAGTGATTATAAGAAACTAAAACGAACTGCACCACAAAACCGTGTCTCAGTGGCATTGTGAGTGGGGGGTTCTGTTGTCCCTTCTTGGGTGGGGGTCACCTCTCTTGTATTTGCGGTCTAGGTCTGTGTGTCTCTGCAGTCACTGGTGGGATGATGCGGAACCCGGCTAACAGTGCAGCGCTGCGTCTCCGGGCTGTCGATTGGACCCGTCCTCCGGTGCCTACTGAGCTGATATCAGTTCTCATTTCACACACTGGCTCAGTTCAGCAGGAACAGGAGTCGAGCCCTTGAGCAAAAAGCCTGTCTGTAAGTGCCTGAGGCTCACAAGATGGGACTTCCCCACACAAGATGACAGGCCTGAACATCAAGCACTAGACCTGGCGGCCAGCGGCGGCAGTATCCATCTGTATGTGCTTCTGTATGTGGTTTGGGGATCTGTGGAATATCATAGAACTAATGCCCCAAAGATTAACTTCCCATTTTTATTAAAGGCAGAACGTAGTCAGTGCTGAAGCTTGGTATTTGCCCCACAAGAGGGAAGGCCTACATCTCTCATTATGGAGTTTTGACTTCCTGAAAGCAGAGTGGATGCAGCTGTGAAGTGAATGTCTGTCTTGTAGCCCACTGGGCTGCAGAGCCATGTGTGAGCTCTGGTTTGACTGTACTGTGTCCGGGATTGAGATGCGGTCCAGGTCTCATCACTGTTTTCTGATGAAAGTCCTCTCTCTAAAGCAGAGAGCAAAGGCCCACAAAGGTACTCGTTTACAAGAATTCCTCAGTTGGGACTGGGTAATAAATTTTATTGCTGTTTCCTTTGCAGGGAAGATCACAGTGAGATGGTCTTTCATATGTCTCCTCCTAGTCGTGGTGGGACAGGATTGCACTGACCCTGGACATCAAAAGAAGAATTACGTGGCTGCTAAAGCCATCAGCCCACATCAGAATTTGTGTCTTGGGCTTCTCTTTCCCAGAGCCTGGGCTCAGCTGGGCAGATAGAAAAGGTGGATGGATCCTCATAAAGTCTCCCACCCAGCAGCTGCCTGACCATGCTTGTTTTCTGCCTGAGATACTGAGTCCTCTGGAGCTCTGCTGTGGTCCAAAAGCTTCGTGTCCACTCATACAGATTCAAGATACTGAGCCTTTAGAACCTGCTGGATGACTGTAGGCCCTTCAGCATGTGGCTGCTCCTGGATATTTGTGATTCACAGAGAGGGTCACAGCTTCCTGGGTCCTGGGAACACTGAACACTGAGGCTTCCTGGAAGGTTCCCAAAAGGTTTTATTGTGATTGCTAAAACATTTAATGTCTTCCAAACTTTTGATAACTTTTTGTAAAAGTACAAGTCAGGAGCCTGAGATGTGTTAATAAAGTGAAATTGATTTATTTAAATTTGTTTGCTTTTCAATGTGCTACCATTCAAAAATAACCAAAACTGCCTAAGAAAGGCTTCTGCACATGTCAACATTCCTCCCCACCTCACTAGTTTTTGGCAGCCTCCACGGCAATGTGAATATTCTTAGAAGCTGAGGTTTAGTTGGTGTTTGGGTAGTGCACGGATTATGACATCCCAGGCCCCACAGGGAGCCTGACACCGTTGTTTCTGTCACACAAATACTGAAGTTTAAAAGGAAAGACAGAAGCCACTAAGGAAGCTTGCTAGTACTGCCCCGGAGGAGGAGGCCATGTGCTGATGAGGCAGAGCAAACCTAGAACAGCATGTGTCTTCTGGTGCTTGGCTGGGGCTCAGTGTGTTCTGGCTTCTTGGGCTACACACTATGAGAAGCCCTGCCAAGGAGGATTTGTTCTTCAGAGCCTTTCACTTTATTATACCTGAGACTGTCATTGTGGACACTACCTAGGGATTTGTTCTTTCCTGTTACTTACATGTACACTTCATATGATACCATATTAGTAGAAGAAACAAAACATGTTAACTGCACATTAGAGTAAATGTCAACTAAATGCTGACTTAGCTCCCAGGTTCTCCTGAGTGCACTGGACTTGCCTTAAGCTGGGCACTAGCTCTCAGGAACATAGACCACATAGTCCTACAAGCGCCTACTGGTGTACCTCCAACAAACTGTGGGTGATTTAGCGGCCCCATGGTTTGGTTTGGTCTGGTCTTACCTTTTCAAAAAAGTGAAAGGCTTGTCTTTTGGAACCACTAAAACAGCTGCTAATTAGGTGTGTTTTCAGGCAGCCAATCCCTTTGTTCTACCAGTCAGAGTCCCATATTTTGTTTTGACTACTTGGGCTTCAGCCAGTGGTGGTAGAGCCCAAGTAGTTGGTGGCTCATTGATGGCCCATGTCAGTAGCTTTGGCTGAGGTTCTTTGGGTAGAGTTGGCTCCAGACATGGGAGTCCTGTCTGTACTTGGAGTGGCCCCAGAGCAGGCAGGAAGCAGGGAAGCAGCCTGGGCTGCCAAGCCAGGCAGCAGCAACCCACCATGCCATAACTGTACTTAGTTTAACTTCATGCACCTGGGGCTCAGCTGGCTATCAGAGTGAGTTCTCTTTGCTGCCCTTCGAGCATCTTCCAAGAAAAGCTTTAGGGAGCCTTTGGCTAGGGCTGACAGAGACCTCTCCATCCAAAAATGGTGCCTGCTGGGGTTAGACAAACTAGCACCTTCATTTTAAAATGATATATCTGACAGACAAAAAGCACTGCAGTAGGTGCTACAGATCCAGTAGGATTTAAGAAAGAATGATGCCTTGGTCCAGGGACACAGCGGTGTTGGTGACAGCTGGGGATAAAAGTATGCGTCCAGCACCCCAAGTCCTGCTATAAGGCCTGGGCAGATTGAGCAGTCTGCCAAACTGCATTGTAAGTGACCGGTAGGATTTGAACTGGAGCTGTACTACAGGGTGATCCAATGCCTCCATAGCACTTTCAGAGGCCTCCTTGTCTAGGCTCCCCTGGGGCCCTTACAGCTGGACTTAGCCTGCTTCAGCACTCTCCACTTTAACTCACTGGGAAGTCCTGGATGAGGCCTGCTTTGGAACTTGGAAACTTGAGTCAGTTACACACTTCCCCATGGGAGGTACAGACCTGTCTTCTTAGCCTGTTTCTATGCCACCTTTTACCCGCACCTCAGCCACTTCTCTAGAGGAACCCAAGACAGCCCTGTTGTCTCTCTGTCCTGACCCTGTCACACTTAGGGTAAAAAACTGATAAGCACAAACTTCTTTATCGTCAAGGTGGTGGCTGTGCTGCGCAGAGGAGCCCAGGACACCTTGTCACCATCAGCTTCTAGGATAGGCAGAGGCTTCTGCCACCTGGGATTCTGTTCACCGTGAGGATGACCCCAAAATGCTGTCATCCCTAGCAGGATCTGGTAATTCCTCACCTACTTGGGTGAAGGAGTGGTTATGCTCCTTCTAAGGTTCCCATAGGCCAGGGCTAACACCATGTGGCCTATAGCCCAACAGCAGCCTGGAACCATGGTCCCAACCTATCCTGAGCAGCCATAAGGCACAGAACCCTTAGTGTTTTAACTCAGATGTTGGGCATGTTTCTGAGGAGAATGGTAAGGGGGCATTCGTGCCCTCTGAGCAAGTTAAACTGGTTAAACTGCCAAGCAGTTTTCCTCCTCCAATACGAGGGGCTATGGCTGGGCCAACCTTTTCCCACTGAGGCTACTGGAAATGTTCCTCCCGCCCAAACTGATCTGCCTAGTCTTTCAGGAGCAAGTCAGCCTGCCAGCATTGACATGCCTTCTCCAGAAGCCAACTGTGACTGGAAGTCAGTATTCTCTCAGGAATCTGGCATGGATGCAAACAGGCATTGCTGATCTGTAGGTAGGTGTGGGCTGAGTTCTACTCAGATCTGTGGGAAGCAGTGGTGCCTGAGGTTACCCCCTGACCTCATATGGGGCAGAAGTAGCAGTGACCCCACCCTGTGTTGTCTCCATTCCTAGCCTGGCCTGGGAAGCAACTACTGTCACCACTATCATGTCCAGGAGCCTTGGGGCCAGAGTCACTCCGGAAGCCCAACCCCACTACTGGGTTCCTCCACACTGGCTGCAGGGCTTTGGGCAGTAGCCCAGGAAAGAAAAGTGCTAAGAATTGTGGGACCCAGGCAGGAAGTGAGGGGGTGATGCTAAGAAATACAAAAGGAGACATCTTCATCTTGGCCTCTACTGTGGAATTAAAGGATTTCAAAGCCTGTACAGAGATGCCACAGACTGTCCCTAGTGTAAGAGCCAGAGGCAGTAAACCCAGGCTTAAAACCAAAGCATTCCCTTAAAATAAGAAGGCTCCAAAAATTTTGCTTCAGGTGCCTCCTGGCCTTCTCTGCTGACCTAAGTTAAGCTGAACAGGGTATCCAGAGCCAGTAGCCACAGACTTAAGCACTCCACCATGGCTGTCCAGGCCAGGAAAGCAGTAGTTCACTGAACTACGGAAAGCCAAGCTCAGTGACAGAGTCAGAGCCAACCCATTTAGAGCTCCAGGTTCTCCATGCCAGCCTGGAGCCAGCCAGAAGAGTGGCTCCAGGGAGGGGTGATGGACAACACTGGGCAGGAATCCCCCAGGCACTGCCAGACAGATCCACCCCAGGAAGGAACAGCCTGTCCCTGCCGCGCCTTCCATGGAACTTGGGGTGCTTCAGCATGTGACCTTGCAAGTGCACTACTGAGGTGGCAAGGTCTGCCACACCCATTCCCAAGGAAGACAGATGCAGCCATTAGAGTGCAGCGGTGGTGTGATTAGCAGGTGCTGCCATCTCAGGTTCTCTGGAGGAACAAGCCATGACCAGTTATGACATGGCGGAAGGGCCTAGGGGCCTGAGGATGGGGAGGGACTGGAAGGAGAGTTGGAAGGGCTTTGTGGACTTTCCAGGGACCAGGCCCATTGAGGGCATGAATTCTTCATGCCCCAGGCTACTGTTGCATGCAGGACAATGACTTTAGCCCTGGTTTACAAGGTGGGAGGGAGGAGAGGCCTCTTGAGACTATTCAAGAGCAAGGTTTTATGGATCTTTTCCCACCCTTTGTCACTGTCTGGGAGACTGATCGCCTAGTAAGACATTCCTGTTCCAGTCCCATAACCAGAAACGTGTGAAAAAGGGAGGCAAGACCTGGTGGCTGCCATAAAAACACAATGCTCCCAGAAATAGCTGGCTGCCACAGGTGTCTGCTGGACACTGGCAGTCATCCTCACAGCTGAAGCACAGAAGGACCAGGAGGAGGAGCCCACTCTCAGGCACGGGGGCTGGGAAAGCGGCCTTACCTACTCACCCCTTATTCTCAAGTATGCTCATGAGGGCAGGACCTTTGAGAGCTGGTGAGCCCTGGAGACACACATGGGTCTAGATGTGCACACATGCTTGGGTGGCTTGGGTATAAAGCCAAGCATGGAAATATAAAGACCTCTGACCCCCCCCCCAGACTGCTCACAAAAGCCAAACCTGGTCACTGCAGTGTTGTTTGACAGAAAACAACTGAGAATTTGGCTTCTTAGCCCCAAGGATCTACATGGGTGGGCACCAGGGCAAAGTGCTTTGGAAACAATGGTTCCTGTAGCTGGCCTAGGCCTAAGCAGTATCTGGTTGCGCAGTGTCATCTAGCCACTGACAGGAAGAGGAACCAGAATGGCTAGGAGGCCCTTAGGAAGAAACTTCTTCCCCACATCATCTGTGGCTCTGAGACATGGGGGACTGAATGTGCTCCTTCTATCAGCTTCTACTTTAATAAGTCACCAGAAATGTTTCAGCCTTGGCCCTTGTGGACAGGGCTTGCTGGTCAGCCAGCCCAGGGCCTGTGATGTGGTAGGTGAGGCGCTAGGACTGCTTATGATTGGGGCCTGACAGCACTGTCAAGAATCCAGAGTTTGAGAAAGTTCTTTTCCATTCTAGCAGTCCTCAGTTAATGTGAAAGGCCTGACAGATTCCAGGAGCACAACTGTGGTGGACTCGGACATCTGTGGCAGGTTTTGAAAGACAGGAAGAAGCCTAGCAGTCTCAGGCTGACCTACTGTGCTCTTTACAGGATCCTTCAGGTTGCCACTTCTGACTCCAGCATCTACTTGTGTGTGGAGTTCGACAGCAGTCTACGTGAGAGGGGAGGATCCAGACACATAAGAATGATGTGATAAGTAAAAAAAAGTAGGAGCCAGCTCTAGTGTCTTCTAGTGGAGTGGGAAAGTGCATTTATGTTGAGCTGTAGGCAATGACAGGGGAAGGAACTCAGTTTCACCATGTTTTCTGTTTTGATAAGCATGTTGAAGAAGAGACAAGTGTAGCTGGTGATCTCAGAACACCTGGGTGTAGAGAAGGCTGTGTCTGATTATTAGCAAGCATAGAGTAGACAGATGGCAGAGGAAGCCCTGGGAAGTGGATCATGACTCACAAATTTCTCCAACCTAAGAGCTCAAGAAGCTGATGTCCTCAGTG